CTTACTAAATAAAGTAAATAAAAAAAAAATAAATAAATAAATAAATTGCTTGTCAGTTTCGAGTAGGTGTCATAGAAGTCCAAAACATAATTTTAAATATTTGGAAAAATAAAAAAGTGAGATTAATGAAAGTTGGCAGTCATATGTCCAATTATAGGTCAGATATATTCGTGAAGTTTCTATAGAAAGGTTTCACAGGTTTGAGTAATTCCTATATAACTATTAGTGGTGCAGGGTATAATTCAGTCGGGTTATACCGACTGAAACGTTTTTACTTGTTCAATACGTGCTTTATCACCATCGGACATAGCTTTTATCTTTGGTTTTTCATTTTTAATGTGTGCTTTTGCTGTACCAATGGGCTTAGACCTGGATTCATTTCTTTTGTTTACAGCATACTCCTTCGGTGGCCTACCTCTTTTGCCGGTTTTAACTAATTTTGGACGTCCTCTATTCTTTTTGTATTCAACATCACTATTCATTTTTTCTTGGTTTTTACATTTTCTAAATTCTTCTTCTAAAGAACTTTCACTTTCGTCAATTTCAGTCTCATAATTTTCAATGGCAGATTCAAAACTGAGATCTTCATCTTTACAAATATCTAAAGTCTCCTTATCATTATTTTCTGAAATGGGGTATGTTCTTTTTAAATTATCTTGTTCTAAGCCTATTTCATTTATAAAAACTACATCTCGGCTTTTAATAATACTTTTACTGCCTTTTTGCCATAGTCGGCAAGATTTAGAACTATTATCGTAGCCTAAAAGAAAAAACGGTTTTGATCTTACCTGGAGACTTGTCTACATCATAAGCTATACAGCCAATAGATTTAAAATAACTGATATTGGGCTTTCGGTTCATCCATAATTTATATGAGATTTCTCCATTTAAACTACTAGAGGAACAGCGATTACGAATATGATTTGCTGTAGAAATACATTCAGCTCACAAAAATTTGGGTAAATTAGGCTGTATTAATGAGCATCTTGCCATATCAACTAAGGTACGGTTCTTCCGTTCCGAAACTCCATTTTATGGAGAATATACATCAGTCCTTTCATGCTTAATTCCAGATTCTTGAATATATGTTGAAAACTGTTTATTTGCGAATTCTAACATGTTGCCTGTTCGTAATCTTTTAATTTTTCTTCCAATTAATAATTCAACTGTATTCTTATAATTTTTGAATGATTAAACGCTTCAGAGTTTTTTTTCATGTAGTATACTTCGGTCCACCTAGTCGAATCATCAGTAAACGTAATAAAACGTTTCGCACCCCCTAAAGAAGTTACGTTTAAGAGACCACAAACGACACTGTTCTATTTTGCAATTATTCTTTTTATGTGATTTAAATGATTGCCTACATTGTTTCCCTAAAGAAAGATTTCACATTTTGGCCCAAAATCAGTGGGAAATTTTTCTTTTACGCCTTTTATTTTATCATTTTTCACCATATCGATTATCGTTTTATAATTTAAATGACCATGTCTATAATACCATAATTTAATATTATTTTTTATTTTTTCTGTAAAATTTAATTCATATTCTATTTTCCAATTTACTTCATATAAATGATTTATTTTTACTGATTCAAACACTGACTTATTCATTTTATTTAATACTACTGTTTTGTTACCAATAAATTTTACCATGGATCCTTTTTGTGTTATTTTGCTCACAGATATAATATTTTTTCTTACATTAGATAGATATAGCACATTCTTCAAATTTATAAATTGGTTATCTATAATTTTTAATCTAATACTACCAACACATTTTATTTCAACAGCGCTCGAATTAGCAAGATTAATTTTGAGTTTCTCTTTCTGGAATTGTCATATTCTTCTGGTATATGATATAATAAGAGCACAGACAACAAATCATCATCTATCTCCATTTCGATAGATTTCAGTTTTCTACAACGCCAGAAAAATTATTTAAGTGCTCATTAACAGAAATATTACCTGTCAAATTCATCATAATCAATCTTTTAAGCAGTGTAGCTTTCTTGGCTGACCCTTTTGATTCACAGTTCTTTTAATTTTTTTCCAGACATCATTTGCTGTGACACAATCTTTAATTTCCTTTAAAAATGATGGATGTATATTCAATACTAAATTAGCTTTAGCCATTTTGTCTAATCGCTCCCATTCTATAATCTTCTTATTGGATTCTTCAGGCTTCGAAACTGGCTTCTTGATACTTCCGCATACATAATCCCAGACGTCATTCTTTATCATCAACGATTCCATGTACACCTTCGACGTGTCATAGGTATCAATGGTCAAATATTCTATTTATATGCCATCTTTCAAAAATTTTTATACTAATTTGTCTTTGATATTTGTTAATTAATATTTTATAAAAAATAAAACGTTTTATAAATCGATGGTTTAAGAATTATTAAGATTACTTTTATATTCACATTTCTCATCTACCTGAGTCCATAAACTGTGTTAAATATATTTTATTACCGACCGTATTGTGTAAACAATAGGTAGGTTATGTGATGGCAACAAATTTTGCATATCGAGTTTTCGGTGGGAACGTACTTCTCCATAGCAGGGAAGTGTAAATAAACTATTTTTAGCAACCTGTCGGTCTGTCGGTCTGTCGGTCTGTCGGTCTGTCGGTCTGTCGGTCTGTCCGTCTGTCGGTCTGTGTGTGCACGCGTGTATCTCAAGTTCGGCTGAACCGATTTTGATGAAATTTTATATGTAAGTTTGTTTCCACCATGTCACGGATCGATCAACTTTTGGTATATATCAGGCCTCGGGAACTGCACTTTTTAGCGGGCCTGTTTTACATTTTTGAACATTTTGAAGAAAATATTCAACCGATTTATTTGAAATTTTATATATAAGCTCAGCTCGACCGTCCGCAAAAATTCGTATGTTTTGGAAGAAATCAGGCATTGACAACTAGACGTTTACTACGGGCCAAATATACATTTTTGTGTATATAAAGAGAAATAATCAACCGATTTCATTGAAATTTAATATATGAACTCCTCGTATTAAAACAATGAACATATAAATTTTTTGGAAAAATCAGGGCTCGAAAACGGGTTTGCGGGCCGATTTTACATTTTTTACCATTTTGAAGAAAGTATTCAACCAATTTACTTGAAATTTCATATATAAGCTTTGCTCGATCATACGCAAAAATTCCTAACTTTTGGAAGAAATCAGGCATCAGCAACTGGGCGTTTACTACGGGCCAAATATATATTTTTGTGTATATAAAGAGAAATAATCAACCGATTTCATTGAAATTTAATATATGAATTCCCCGTATTAAAACAATGAACACGTAAATTTTTTGGAAAGATCAGGCATCGGCAACTAGACGTTTACTACGGGCCAAACATACACTTTTGTGTATATAAAAAGAAATAATCAACCGATTTCATTGAAATTTAATATATGAATTCCTCATATTAAAGCAATGAACATATAACTTTTTTGGAAAGATCAGGGCTCGAGAACTGATTTGCGGGCCGATTTTACATTTTTCACCATATCCATAGAACAAATTGATGGAATTTCTTGAAATTCGATATTTGAGTTCTGGTTGTTACCGAAACTAACTGGCGAGCATTTCAGGGAATTCGGGTAGCACAAAGCGAAACTCTACTAAGAGCCAAATTTACATTTTTCTAAGTATGTTAACTATAAGCTTACTAATGTCCTAAAAATTGGAAAGAAGTATTTAACAGACATTTTTATAATATTCTGTAACACTTTCATTTAACTAGACAATACACAATGCGGTCGGTTATGTGCTGACCACATCAGATTTTTTTTATTATAATATATTAAGTACATGTGACTGTATGGTAGTTTATTCAGAAGTAACAAACTATGTATTTTATTACAAAATATTAATTTATTATAATTGAGTACATAATTGATTATATTTTAACTAATACATATATGTATACTTATACAAAGTATTTTGAACTAATGAGGAAAACACTTTCTGAAGAAATTCTGAACATTGCTATTACAAATGACATTAGGAGTCGATATTTGGAAAGAACGTTTTCCTTTTAGGAAAATTCTAAAAAAATTTTTTTAAATTTTTGAACTTTTATATTTTGAATTTCATTTCCTAAAAGCAATGACACTTAGCTTATGAAGCTCATTTTGTTTTTTGAACCTTGTATTTTTCATATTTTTGCTGAAATGAAAAGGGGTCCACACGCTAAATTATCTTTATTTAAGTCAATATTTATCTAATGGAACTATGAAAATAGTTTCATTAGTTAAAAACAGACTGCCTTTGTGTTTCAGTACTTGAGTTTTGTGAATGCTAGCTGAAGTTTTTTAAAACTAGCATGCTTTTGTGCAGAAGTTTTTCTACATAAATCTAGAATAAGAGGATTTTTGCCAAGATATCTCAAGCACATATTCCTTCGTTGTTCTTTTGGTTTTTGATGAAAAAAGAAAACTACCAATATTGAATATAATTTTTATAGTGACTGACAAAAAAAATAATAACAATAATTTTCAAAAAATTTCGAGTTTTGTAAGAAAAATTTCAAAAAAAAAAAAAATAAAAATTCCGAATTGGACAAACTGTATTTCGAAAACATAATAATCAATTAAGGCTCAAATAAAATTAATTGTGAGACTAAAAATGAAGAAAAATCAACCGGCTATGAAACAAGCAGCTAATGATAACTTTATGTTGTATAGTTATGAAGTCATAGGCATTTGTTTATATGCAGGAAAAGACCGGTACCTTTTTTTTTCAACAGGTTGTAGCTCTTAAACGAATATATCTGCCCACCCCCCATACAATTTTCTGCTGCAAATCAATCAAAGGATCATCCCTGAAATTATTTGTGACCTTATGCGAAAAACCATGTATAAAAGCAAAGCAGTACAGACTATTTAAATGTCTTAGTTGCTATGAACATTTATATAGCACAATTTTTTGTTAAAATATTTTATGTTTTCAGAATGTTGCTTCTTTCGAAAAAAGGTTCAACTTACGTCGCTTAAATGACTGTTCCATAAACCTCGCCCCTGTAATAGGTGAACTGCTAGTTTCAAATCAGCACTAGTTGGCTCAATTTCAATATGCGCAAGACAATATTTTCCTTTTATGCGTACTGAAACTTCGTTGGTTATTTTTACCGATGTTTTGATGTTTGTACACAAATCAAAATCGCCAAATTGATTAACATTACCACGTAATATTCCAGAAGAAATTTTTCCAGACGCATCTATCACTGGAATTATGGGAAAAAAAGTAAGTTTTAATACTTATAGTTTTATTTCGCTCTTAATATATAGAACTTACTTTGCAATGGCCACATTTTATGACCACGTAGCTGTCTTTGAAAAATTTGAATTTGTTGTTTACAATCAATATCGTCTATGAAATTTGGATTAATAATAAAACTTGGGAGAGCTTCTAATAAAATCTCGAACTCTTCATCGCTGATACCTTGGCTTGAAACCCATTTACCTCCATTTCGGGGAACAACTAATTTTTGTGATTGGCCTATCGGAAAAATCACGTTGAATGGCCAACGATTAAAATATTCTGATATTATGTCTTTTGAATTATCGGATTGCGATTTACTAGGCTCATTAGTCTTCATTAAATATTCTAACCAAGTTATAATACCAGTTTTCTCATTATTTTTGTTTAAAACTTTATTGTCTTCGTTTTCGCTTTTCTCATAATTGAGTTCCTCATCGTCATTATTAGCACGTGTGATCTCTAATTCATCAGACTCATTTTTCTTACTACCGAAAAACCAACCAAATAGACCAAATGATAATCGCCTTTTGTCTTCTTCAAAATCTTCGTCTTCTTCGTCATTATCAATTTGAAGCTGAGAGTGAGATGTTTTCACGTCGGCATAGTGTACTTTTTCAAAAAACTCTTTAATATCTTCGTCAACGTCATCATCCTCTTTAATCGGAACGTAAGTAACTTTGTGAAATGGAAATGTTTTTTTTGGTTTAGGTTCTTGATTAGGTTTTTTTAATCCGTATGATGCACTTTCAAATGGCAGTAAAAGCAATATCACAAATAATATTAGCAAAGCCGTTATTTGAAAATATAATGACGGAAATCGTTGTTGCGACATTGGAACAAGTTTAAATTTTTTCGTTTTTGAGGATATTTTGTTGTTAAAATTGATTAGATGATTCTCCAAAATAAAAAGTTATGGAATAATTTAAAGAGTATTTCTATTGGTTTTCCCGTAATTTAAACTTAACACGCAAATGAACATGAAACAATGGACTTTGGAATATAATAAAAATAAAATTAGTGTTTAATTTCCCATTTAGGTAAAATAAATAAAATAGGTAAAAATTAGGTAAATAAAAAATTTCTCTTTGCGATTCAATTTCGTCAATACAGTTAGTTAAACTTTTTGTACAAAACCACATATGTATGTATGTATACAAACACTTGTAAAATGGTTTATCATGAAAGAAAATTTTCTTAGAATTAAAAGAAAAATAATAGAATTACTGACATTTTGAAACCTTTGGACATACACCGCAATTTAGAAAAATAAAGGCAATCATTTCTCATAATCGCATATAGAAAGTTACCATTAAAAACCTCTTATTTCTTTAGATTTTCACTTTAGATAAATAAACTATTATATGTTTATTATACTGAACATATACTTTAATATATAGCATTTTCAGATTAAATTAACCCTTTTGCGAATTAAATTAACTTTTTTGCGAGTGGAATTAAACTTTTTGCGAATAGAATTAACCCTTTTGCGAATTGAACTAAACCATTTGCGAATTGAATTAATCCTTTTGCGAAATAAATTAAATTTTTTTTTTAAATTAAAACTTTTTCAAATAAAATGAAACCTAAAAAAAGATATGAAAATCATGAAAATGAAAATCAATAAAATTTAAGCGACTTATTAAAAAAATCATGTTTTTCATATTTGTGCACGTAATATCATACGAGTATGTGTATATATATATATATGGATTTTTTTTGCATAAAATAAAAAATAATTAATATCCATAATTTTACATGTGATTAAAATGCATTAATGTAGAGTTTACATTTAAAAGATTTTAATATATGAATTTCTGATTTGAAAAGTTGGAAATGGACATGAATAAACTACTCTAACTTTTCAAAAATAAGATAATCGTACAACTTTTTTAATTTTGATAAGAAAAAAGCGACATCGCAAATTTGAAAAAAAGGGGTTTAAAATAACGGTTAATTTTAATCGGTATCTTTGCAATTAAATTGTTGACCATATTATATCGTTACAGAAAAAGTTAGTCATTGTTTTTTGAAGTTTAAAGTTCGTTACAATAAATAGTCAAAAAATTACATATTTATGACTTATAGAAAAAAAAAATTTCTAATACTCGTTACTAAAGATACGATTACATATAAGTACACGAAATTTCACCTTTCAATCTTAGGGTGGAAAAGTTTTGTAAACACACACACGGACAGACAAACCGACGAACTGAGTGAAACTATTAAGCACTTTTTTTAAATCCTTTTTCTTCGTCAATTAGAAAATAAAAAGCGTCAATTAGAAAATTAACATTTTAGGTCAAAATTTGTTGTTGTATTCACATCAACACTTGAATGTATATAATTAACAATGTTCAAAAAATATTTAATTCAAAAATGTTTGCCCTTTTTATATTTTTTTTTGTTTCAATTTAAAGAAAACTTTTAAAGAAATTAGGTATTTCTGCTGTAAGAATGTTTTTTAAAAAATTTTGTTAAAACTTTTTAAAATTTTGCATGGAAATCGTGATATTTTTGATAAAAAATGGGAGAAAATATTGACAGCCCTTTCTCAAAGCTTTTTTAAAACTGATATTTAGTGTTTAAGAAAATAAAACTGTCAAAAGATAAACAAGAACCACTTTTTAGCACTTTTCCAAAAAATTTTTTGAAAAAAGTGCTTATTAGTTTCACTCTGTCCGTCCGTCCGTCCGTCCGTCCGTCCGTCCTACCGTCCGTCCGTCTGTCCGTGTGTCTGTTTACAAAACTTCTACAACTTTGAAGATAGAAAGCTGAAATTTAATATGTACATAGATCTTCACTAGAAACTTATTTCCGTAGAACAAAATTTTTACCTATCTCCCCCCCTCTAGAAGTTATACCCCCCCAAAACCCTAAAAATGGCCGTTTTTAAATATTTGTTGCAATGAAACCATAAGCATTTTTGAAATTTTGCAAACGCAGAAAGGCAGTGGCTTGCTTCCCCTTGCGCGGTATACTATAGTTCAACTTAAGAAAAACAAAATGGCCGCTCAAATTTACAGTTATTTAAAGTCTTTTTTTTCCAAATTTTTGATGTCGTTTTTCTTCTAGACCCCAGACTGTAGAAGCTTGAAATTTTAGGAGCTTTTAGATATTAATAAATAGTTCATTTTGTTAGAAGAAAATTTTTTTCCATCTCCACCCCCTCTGAAGTTACCACCTCTTGAAATTCGTAAAATTTGAATTTTTGACACCTTATATTTCCGAAACCGCAAGCTCTTCCAAATTTTTATAAACGCAAAAAGCTAACGGTAAATTCCATGAAATTAAAAAATATAATTATTTTTCTTAACTCACACAATTAACCCTTAAAATCGAGCATTATGTTAACCCCTTTTTATATTAATTTATGCTTTATTTCAAAGACTGCATATATGCGTCATCCTAAATATATGCAATCCTAGAAATAGTTTTGTATATGAATGAAAATAATTTTAATAGTGTGATAGCTATACATAGACTGTATTTAAAAGCAGAATTTTCACTTGTTGAAGGGAAAAGTGCTACAATACAAACCATTGGTTTGACCCAACTTTATTTTTAAAACTTTTTGTAAAATTTAATTTCGAAGCCAAAACAGCACTTACAAACACTAGTGTAATCAAGTATTGATCATTTTTTGTATTTGTAATGTATAATTTTTAATTATCATTTATTGTATGTATAGTTTTTAAATTTCATAAAAAATGTTTATCTGTTCGATTTAAATTTTCAATGGATACGATAAGGTTTTGAAAGATTTAATAAAGCATACTTAAACTTTTAAATGCTCGGTTTGTTTTGTTTTCGGTTTTATTTGGTGTTTCCTAAAAATTTTGGATAATTCAACATTATGAAATTTTTTCAGTTTACAATTTGGATCATAAAACTTTTTAAATGTCACTGTTTTTCCTCTGTAGCGAACAAAATGACATCACAACGTTTTTATATTAAAGTTTTTTTTAGTATTATGGCACACTATTTGTGTATAAATATAACAAATAAAAATTTCATTAAAAGCCAACTAATAAAAAATAGTAGAATGTTGGAATTTATTATAGTTTCTCTAATTATAGTCCCTATGAAATAATTCTTTATATTATTTATTTTAGCTATTTTATCTTACATATATACATACATATGTATTTGTACATTAGCAAACATACATACATAGTAAACCAAAAAAAACTTGGATTTTTGTTGTTATAATTTTTAAAATAGGGAAATGAAAATAACTTAAATAACAATTTATTTTAATTTATAAATAGCCAAAATTTTGCTCTGTTTATCGGAAAATTTTCAAAATATGAATTTCCAAAACTATTTTATTAGCAAACAGAGAAGCACTTATATTTGGGGTTCTTTTTTTTATAGAATATTGATTTAATCTAAATAACACTTTTCTAATTATTACCCGGCGTTTATACAATATGCTTCATTTAAACTTTTATTTAACAAAATTTTATAAAGCGATTACTATGTACAACAAATGCATTTGGCTAACTGACAAGTTCTGTCTAATAGGTGCTTATTTTGCGTTTACCTTCTACACATATATATGTATGTATTTAATTCAATATTTTACTATAAGTACACTGTGAAAAAAAGTCGTGTAAAATTACTACAATAATTCTAGGAATCTGAATTCCTAGTACTTTTTTGTAGAGCAAATTTTTTACTAGATTGTAGAGGAAACTTAATTTAAAAAATAGAACAAAAATTACTCTTCGATGAGTAATAATAATCTGAACTAATAATTTTAATTTTCGGTATAGTATTTTACATTTAGGTATAGCGATTTATTCCTCCTGTCAAAGGAGTAATTTACTTCACTAAAGTAAAAGATAATACTCTTTGTTCGAGTAATATTACGTCATTTTTATCTTTCAGCATTTCCCATGGAACTGTAAATTGCCCTATTGAAATTTTTGCTAATATTATGTATTCTAATATTTATGTAAAAATTTTCGGCACTTGAATATAACAAATGGTTTTTTTACATAAATAAAGTTGGGTCAAACCAATGGTTTGTATTGTAGCACTTTTCCCTTGAACAAGTGAAAATTCTGCTTTTAAATACAGTCTATGTATACCTATACACTATTGAAATTATTTTCATTCATATTTAACTATTTCTAGGATTGCATATATTTAGGATGATGCATTCATGCAATCTTTGAAATAAAGCAAAAATTAATATAAAGAGGGGTTAACATAATGCTCGATTTTAAGGGTTAATTGTGTGAGTTAAGAAAAATAATTATATTTTTTAATTTCATGGAATTTACCGTTAGCTTTTTGCGTTTATAAAAATTTGGAAGAGCTTGCGGTTTCGGAAATATAAGGTGTCAAAAATTCAAATTTTACGAATTTCAAGAGGTGATAACTTGAGAAGGGGTGGAGATGGAAAAAAATTTTGTTCTAACAAAATAAACTATTTGGTAATGTCTAAAAGCTCCTAAAATTCCAAGCTTCTACAGTCTGGGGTCTAAAAGAAAAACGACATCAAAAATTTGGAAAAAAAGGACTTTAGATAACGGTAAATTTGAACGGCCATTTTGTTTTTATAAAGTTTAACTATAGTATAGCGCGCAAGGGGAAGCAAGCCACTGTGTTTCTGCGTTTGCAAAATTTCAAAAATGCTTATGGTTTCATTGCAACAAATATTTAAAAAAGGCCATTTTTAGGGTTTTGGAGGGGTATAACTTCTAGAGGGGGGGAGATAGGTAAAAATTTTGTTCTACGAAAATAAGTTTCTAGTGAAGATCTATGTACATATTAAATTTCAGCTTTCTATCTTCAAAGGTGTAGAAGTTTTGTAAACAAAAAAAGTGTCCACGGACGGACGGACGGACGGACGGACGGACGGACGGACGGACGGACAGAGTGAAACTAATAAGCACTTTTTTCAAAAAATTTTTTGGAAAAGTGCTAATAAGCACTTTTTTCAAAAAATTTTTTGGAAAAGTGCTAAAAAGAGCAATAAAAAAATGTTTAATTTTAAATAACAAGATATCTTAGGGTTTTAACATACTGACTTTAGTTGAAATATTTAAAACATAACCTTTTTTACACATTTTACACATTTCGCAATTTATTTAAAAAAATTAAAAAATTTTAATATTTTACTTAAAACTAAAACATTTTACAAAAATTAAAAAGATTCAAAACAAGATATTAAATCAAACTTATACAAATAAAAATTTTTGTTTTATGAAATATCTTGACATATGCAAATATTTTAAATTTTGGCTCTGTAAAAGTATGTATTTCGAGCTTTATTTTTATAATCAGTTATAAATATTAAAATAATTATTTCAAATTGCTGATGAATTTATATAAATCATGAATTAAAATAAAATTTGAAATATGTATAATACTGTTTTTTTTTATTATTTAAAAAGAATATTATTAACAAAAGTTTGTAACTACAATATCTAATTCTTTCTAAATTCTAAATATTATTTCATTTTAATTCGAATTGGTTTATTTTCTTTATTTATATAATTTATATAATTTGTAATTTAGCTCATATTTAAAATTGTTTTCTTACAACCTCGTAATTTTTCGCAGTAGTGGTTATAAAAATACCTTACGCAAAATTCTAGGATTCGAAATTTGGATTGTACTATGTTAAATACATATAATTGTAGCAAATAACCTGGCTGAGTAAATCCACAAAAGTAAAATTTTCCTCCTTTACTATTAGTATTTTTTCTGCAAAAATATACGCTATGCGCTGTTCAAACATAGTATCTAAAAAACAAGTAAGTGTAAATTAAAAAAACTTAAGTTGAATAAGCTATGTAAGTGTGAAAACAAAAAAAAATACTTGAAAGAAAACTTACCAACTATAGCAAACCAAGGACCATTCGTCGGAATAGATATAATGATATCTTCCATCGTGGTTCCAAACTGCAAAAAAAATTAAATTATATTTATATGGAATATATTTACCTTACACTTCATGTAAAGCAAATCAATTCTTCCTTTAAAATATTTTGCTAAAGCATGTAAACTCTGCCCTTCTTCTTCTTTGGAGTTCTTTGCAATTTGGTTGATTTCAGCTTTGTTTTTTTATTCATTATAAAAGTGTTTGCATTTAAATTCATCAGTAACAAAACAGAAGAAAAAAATTTAATTTACGTTTTTTTAATTAATAATTTTCAAATTTTACCTGCACTTTTATTTTACACTTAAAATTTTTATATTAAGTTATTAATATTTTATATCTATATGATTTAAACAATTAATTTAATTTTATTTTTCTTAATATATTTAATTTTCATATTTTTATTAAAATCACTTAAAAATTTAAACTTATGAATTTATGTATCATTCTAAATACAACCTCAATCTTATCGCTTTCTATTCAAACTGAGAAAAAATTCAAAAATGGTGACTTGGTCAATAAAACTTACTCTACAAAATAGTAATTTGTCAAAAAATACTTTTAAAAAAATTAAAATCACTTTCACAAAGAAAATTTTACTCTACTTTGAAGTAATTTTCAACTTGATCCATGATTATTACTGTCTTTCAGATTGGAATTACTATACAGCATTAATATTCTCGATCTTGTTGTAAATTTACTCGCTAATCGAGTAGACTGCAAAATTACTCTCAAATCGAGTAAAATTTAATATGCTATATTAAATACATAGTAAGAATTACTATGTTTTTTAGCAATTTTGCATCCATTTTTTACAGTGTAGGTAGGACATACATACAATTTAATTTTGCAAATTTAGATATAGAAATGCTCATATATATACATTGACTTCATATGTACAAATGTATAATGCCTCTTTTGAAATTTTAAGGTGCAAGCTAAGCAGTGTATTGGGCACGGCTGACAGAAATACAGGCCTGGACCCTAAGAGAGAGTAGCAGTTCACAGCTGACGAATTTACACGTATTTTTATAGGATCTATATAGGGCCCTTTTTAACATTATAAATCTCCCACAAGATCAACTTTTTTTCAAATTTTTAAATAGAAAAAGTTAAAATTCAATCTTTTTCTACTTTATTAGTGCTTACATTCTTGAAGTTTTGTGTTATTAAAACATTAAAAAATTGATTTAAAAAAAACCTTTCAGGTTCCGTTCACTTTTTTAAGATTTCAATAAACGATGCACTACAGGAAAAAAAAAATGCAATTTTTTTTCGAAATATTTAGTGGATTCCGGTGTATTTTTTCAAATCTGAGAATTGAAAACATTTAAGAAGTTTACTAATTTTATATAATATGTCTCTCAAAATGCATACTTCTTACATAATCACGTATATAACATATGTATATAATTTTCATCTGTATAATATATTAATTAAATTTATATGCTTCATAATTCATAAAAATTATAGCATATGTGAATTCTTTTTATATTAAATATTTATAATTATTTTATATTAAATATTCATTTTTATATTAAATATAATTCTTTTTAGGTATATATGTGATTTCAGTTTTATTAAGAAATATTTTCACATTGTTAGTAAGGCTAATTCACTAACTTACCTGAACTACCGCATAAGAAACTTTAAATCATATACAAATTTCTTTACAATATTTTTATTATGTTTGTTTTTATATAGGGGACAACTTGAAACAAAGCATTTTTCATAATGATTATAAAATTTTAAAAGCACTATCATAATTATAAAACTTTAAATCCAATAATTACAAACTTAAATTAAAATCTAATAAAATTTTTATTAACTTTATTTTAGGCCGTGTATTCTAGACTATAAAAATATAACTCCAATGTTTTTTTATTCATTGCATTATCATTTTTGTACCCTGCACTTCGTGAAGGGTATAAAAATGATAATATATGTATAATATATAGATATATATTCTTGCTCAGCGTAAAATTCTGCGTCGATTTAGACATGTCCGTCCGTCCGTCCGATCGCACGATAACTCAAAAACGAATAATGCAATCGACACCAAACTTTCACAAATTTTTTCTTTTGTGCCAAGGACGAACCCTATTCTTATTGGACTGATTCGGACAACGGGTTCGGGTAGCTGCCATACAACTCAAAGAGTTTATTTTAAATATTTCAAAAACTAATAAAGCTATAAATATAAAATTTTGTATACATCTGTCTAATTATATTCTACATATGCTCTAGAAATTATAATTTGATAGCTTCACCGGTTTAGGTGGCTGTCATACAACTCCAACAACAAATTTTTTATATTCGGCAAAATAATAAAGTGATTCATGAAACTTGGCAGTCATGTGTCCAATTATAAGTCAAATATATTTCTGAAGTTTTAGTGGAATTGCTTGACAGGTTCGGGTACCTGCCATACAACTCCAGAAGCTAATTTTAAATATTTGGAAAAATAATAAAGTCAGATTCATGAGACTTGACAGTCGTGTGTCCAATTGTAGTTCAGACATATTTCTAAAGTTTTGGTGGGATTGCTTGACAGGTTCGAGTAGCTCCCATACAAGTCTAAAAGCTTATTCTTAATATTTGGAAAAAT